GATTAAACGAATGAGATCACTTGTGTTCTGTTCATGGAAAATTCTAGCTTATTTTTCATTGAAGTATTTTTTCATTATTTCGAGATCGCAGTCAAAAATAGAACGGTTGAAATGTTTGTTGGTGGAACCCGAAAGCAGTCGAAATCTTTAGCCCTTGTCGATAGCATTTACATTGTTCTTCTTTTAAACTCATTCGTGTTTATATGGGTTACTTCGTCTCTTCTTTCCGGCTCAATGACTTAACCGACTGGCTGGGCGTGTTATCAGTATTTCTTATACTTGCATAGATACTTCATGGGAAGTCGATCTACTATGTAGAGTACTATTAGCGGTCTGCTCACCATTTCCGCTTTTGTTTAATCCGTTATGACAGACCTGTCAGAAAAGCTTCCTTACCGAAAACAATAGCGTTTACTCTTTAAACGTTGTTTTAACGAACGTCACGTCATTGATCGGACCCTCAAAGGATGAAAAGTAGTGGCAACACGACACTCTTTCCGCAAATACTAGACCAAGATGGAAATGGTTTGTGGAACAGATTTTCTTAAATGAGCCGGCCACTCTGTAGCAGGAGCTCGGTCATGCATCTGGTGTAGATTCAGTGTGCCACAATTATTTCCATCAGCTCTAACATCTTCGACATGGGTTGTTGGTCTTCTCAGTTACGGATTTTCTTTTGTGCGAACATGTTGCTCTTTATGGTTTGCGTCTTTTCTCTTTCGAGCTAGATCCATATTGACATTGATGTCGGTTAGTTTACGCAATACGGTTCAAAAGTACAGAATTCTTTCGTCATTATGTTGTATCATCATGGAGGTGCTAGAGAAGAAAAAGTAAGGCAGTCTCTTGGTCAATTCATTCAGTCGATGACGTTGTGAAGTTTTTGTGCTCCATCTGAATGGTCGTTCTTGTGTAAATGCTTTTTTATTTTAGTTTTATTCTATTTGATCCGTCTTCACGTCTACTGTGCGGATCCCAGCACTTCTCACATTCGATTCGTTTCTTCGCATCCACTGTCCACGTTCTTCCAACTTTGCGCATGGCTTCGGCTGGTGCTTGAGGATTTTCATTTCATCTTGAATGTCGTAGAATGTTGGTCGAGCAATTCTCCCTTGAGACCTGAGATAGCCGGTCTGGACGGATCCCGGTTGGATTGCAGAGTGTTTTTTTTCCAAACAAGTCCGGTACGAACTTTCGGACCCCTGAGGGATGTGAGGCTTAATTGGCCCGGAGCAGAATCGAAGTAGTACCACGCTCGTGGTAGCTGACACCACTTCTACTGTGCTATCCGTCCCTTGGTGTAAATACTACTGAAGATAATTTTGAAGCAGTGACTTTGCACTATTTTCGCTGAAAGTGAGTATTCGATCATGGGTACCCTATACAAACTTCTCTGAGAAATGCGATTCAGGCTGAAGGCGGAAGCTACACTCTTGATGAACGATTTTTATGTAATCTCAGAACGACTAATCAATATTTTGCTGTATTCATAAGCTTACACGATATTGTAACAAAAAAACTTCACAGTGGCTAATTCGATGATCCATGATGGATTTGACTTGTTTTGACGATCGTGATTGCCAACATCGAAGGAGGAATCAACGGCTGTAGACGCCCGGTTTGAAGAAGGTGCAGGTGCCAATACGTTAGCCACGATAAAGACTACGCACGTTAAGCTCATGAATGCAATAAAAGACTGATCAGAGCACTTTTTCGAAAAGTGGTCAACAATAGCAGGGATGTCTACTGCCAAGCGCTATTCATCTGAAGTTTTCAGTTCCTATTCGGTGGTGTCGTGTGAAACCCGTTCGGAATTCGTTACTGTACGGAGCTTCTCGGTTTTTTTGTGTTACACTTTTACGATCGTCTACAGTTGTAGTGCGTTGTTCTCTGGGTTGTTTTGTTTCTCTAGTATAAAATGTTTTATTGTTGCCATCACTTCGTGGGTTTTCTGTCCTCGTCGAGGACTCGAACGAAGTGCGATCACTCATTTACTTACTTGAAAAGTCTCTCTCCGCGAACGGTAGTTTGGAAACCAGCACAGATTCTACTTGAGAGGTGATTTGCTGTTCCGGCAAGACTTACATTCATTGGAGGTCATCTTAAGGCAATAAATTGGAGGATTTCAACGTTCTCATCTTACGAAATTCCCAGCCATTCTGGACCGGAGGCAATTTTGTCAGCTCACGCCTGGGTGGCTGCCGAGATGCCGACGATTGCTGACACTGTTGCACCACTGGTTATTGCAACATCGAACTAATTCTTGATAGAATCTACTAGTGGTGGACCCCAGTTTCTGCATCACAAATCGACACCAGCATCTCTTAGCCAAAATGGGTAGTAATTCAATGGGTGAAGTTATGAATGGCATTCCAGAAAACTCCAGCAAGCAGTCCCATTTTTCCACTTCTCGCTTCTCACTCATGGACTAAAAACAATGCAGTTGTTTCATTCCTAGTGGTGTTGGGCTAATTGTGGTACGATTTCGTAGAAATTCACTAATCTAATTGGGTAAAACTTCGCTCTTAAAAAATAATTTCTACAACATTGTAGAAATTTTTTGTTGTCACAGTTATTTTGTATCTCGTTTCACATGTTTTTCAGCCATTTTCGCTTTCATTGGCTTAAAATCTTTCATAATAAAGTGCGGTTTTCTAGAGACGGTCGACCCGGCGTGGCTGGTTCCCCTGGCACTCGCGGACCGCAGGGTGAGAGAGGTAACAAGGGCGCACTAGGTGCTCCCGGCCCACACGGCCCACCAGGATTTCCAGGGCATCCAGGTTTGTGTTTGCTTTTCGATGAACTTCTATTTCATTGCCGCCACCTATTGTCAATTTTTTATCAATTTGTTAAGTAATTTTACTACTATTTTATGAGAAAATTACCATTATTCTATCATTTTTGTGGAGCATCATGTGCACTTGGTAATGTGGAGGCAGAAACCGAACGATGGCTGCCGTAAAATCAAATGACTGTGGAACTTCATAAGTTCCGCGAAGATTTCTCCAATTTTCTCTTTCCTTATTGATAAATTAGACTTACGGAGAAATTCATGTAATGGGCTTTATGGTTTAAAATGTTTGAGGATTATTTCAAAAACTCAGCATTAGTATTTTTCGTGTGGGTGTATTTCACCATGGTGTTAAAGAGAATTGACCATTTGAGGAAATACATCGGCTTCTGTTTCTACAGTGGTTTTTTTGCTTTGACGAGAGGAAACAAGCGAAAACAGCAACGCAGGCCACAAGAAATTTTTTTAGCAATACATAAATGGTAAGAGCTTGTAAAAAAGTGGTACTGATGCAGGACCTAGGGAATTTGTGCTTATTCTACTGAAGAAACAGCAGAAAGGAATGCTAGACCAACGCTACGATAGGTTTAAAACACTGCTACGCTTCGCTGCACTTCGTCTTGCGCAACTCTAGAGGATCCCCTTGAAATTTAGCTGGGAAAACTTATCGTGACAAAAGCATTCTAAGAGGCATAGGACTTTCGCTTTTCACTTGTGGTCGCCAGACTGGCGGCATTATCATGACGGCATCTGTGTGCTGCTGAATGTTGGGACGAAGCTATAAAATTCGTTTGAATAGTTTTGAATGGAATTTGTTTTCAATGTTTTTCATCAATAAGCAGACACGAGGTTGTTAATATAGAATTTATTAGAACACAATTGCTGACGTTTCGGCGGTTTCGCCTTCTTCAGAGCCTGGAAAGGTCAAATTGAGATGCGATCTACTCAGCCAAACACTTTCATAACCCTAGCAGATAAAACTTGATAAATTTATCTTGATAAAAAAAAATAACTTGATAAAAAAAAAATATAATTTATAAATTTATCAAGTTTTATCTGCTAGGGTTATGAAAGTGTTTGGCTGAGTAGATCGCATCTCAATTTGACCTTTCCAGGCTCTGAAGAAGGCGAAACCGCCGAAACGTCAGCAATTGTGTTCTAATAAATTCTATATTAACAACCTCGTGTCTGCTTATTGATGAAAAACATTGAATTATCAATTAATGCCGAGGTTAACAGAAAGTCGGTCATGGGAATTTGTTTTGATTGTTTATTTTAACGAAGAGCTTTAATTTTTTGAAAGAACTTTTATACTATATACAAATGGCTATAAATATACATGCCTATATATATAAATATATATATAAATATATATATATATATGACTAACCGCTCGCTTAACCATGTACCTGTTCAGGTTCCTGTGCTCACTGTCCATCCAGTGCGCAGAAACACCCTCAGCCATCCATATCTCCTGGTCAGACTCCTCCATCGGCAGCTCTTCATTTCAAATCTATCCAAGATGGGAAAACAGGCAGCAACGATCAATCATACCTTACTTCTCCGCAACAAGTACCACAACCTCAAACGCAGGTGAGGTTCTCAACTTCACTGCCACAATCTCATTCTTCCCTAGGCGGTTTCATGTAATGAACTCCACTACAATTACTTGGATACTTAGACGGCTCTCTCTCACTGGTTGCGCGAGCTCCAGCATAATGTCCATTTTTTCGCAGTTTTGCTGGTTTAGCCATTGTGTTTTCCTGGAATCACGAGGACAGCTTGGCCAAAGTCTGCCCCAGGTCGTCACCACGACAGGCTGTCGAAGCCCTTGTGGATCAGAGGGAGATTTACCACTATGCGACTTTGATACCAAGACGGCGGTGGATCCTGGTATTGGTTTACTCTTAGCTAAGCTTCCTGATGGAAACGCCGGACTCCTTCTCAGCTTGGGAGACCCTGCCAGAAGATGAATCCTTCGCCGTACAACGCAGTCCGACACCCAGGAACACCTCCCAGCCACGATGAAGTGGTACACCGTTGCGAGGTCACTACATCAACTCACCTAAGACATCTTCTTTCTGTTCTTCCGTGTGAATGAATTCTTCACCTCCAATATGTGGTTTATTTTCTTGCTTTCACTAAAAATTTAACTAGATGTTGCAGACCCACGGGAAATCTACATTTTCTCGAAAACCCATACTTCGCCATGACGACAGTGAGCTACTTGAGCCAATTACTCCAGAGCCACATCAATCCCGGAGGCCTATGGGATACTCGCAAGAGCAGCTCAATTCCATGTCGCAATCTGTTTTACAAAAGTCGAGCGCAGGATTTGAATCAGCTACGGTCAAAACAAATCGGGTTTGTTTGAACTTTTGTAAGGTTTTAAATGCACTTTTAGATAAGGTGGGGTTCATCTAGTAGGTGAAGGAATGGAAATTACACGTTGTGCTAATAGTAGATTAGTTTTGAAATTAAATTGAATTCAAGAAGTTAACGAAAACCTGAGTATTTGAAATCTTCAGAAAAAAAAACGAAGGTTGGAGAAATCTAAAGTCGACCTGGTACCACACAAATTTGCTTTTTTATTCAGGGCTATAATGTACATATCGTCAGCAGCTCCTATAGTGCCAGTCCGGTTAGCAAATCGTGGGATGCTGGCATGCCCAAGCAGCACAACCCTGCCAACTATGAACAGCTGGCCCCACCTCCGCCGAAGTATAAATTCAAGTGACGATGACTTGGCGAGCACTAGTGCAGTAATATTGTGGTATTCTGTAATGCTGAACTTTATCTATATGCTCTATTTTATTTCGGGACGACTTGGCGATGAAGATTAATGTATTCGAAATGAGATGTATCCATGTAATTGTATTTTGCTAAACACCAGGATGTATTGTATTTGTCTCACTTAAGTCTTATCATAGGTATCATAGGTCTTATCATAGTCTTATCAATAAATGGTTAGAAGGTTTTAGTGCAAGTCGTGGTCTCTTCAAGTCTAGATTCATTCGTGGGAAATCCTTGCAGACTGACTTTAATGGTTAGCGTGTTTCTGAGAATGTAGAAAATCCGAATTTGTCGGTGTGACAAGCATCTAAGAATGAACAACTGTAGGAAGAATTCCACTCTACTACCTGTTAATTTCTCCTCACAGCATCAGAAAAGATAAAAGCTGAATCAGAATGGATAAGGATGCATACAGTCTCCACGATAGAAAGGACTGAAGCGCTAATTACTAAGTATTTACTTAAAAATACTTCGATACTTTGTTATGGAATTCGAACGGTAGCACAATTCTTAGAAAGAATAAAAACTGAAGATTTTGTAGATCTGGGGAGACTTTCTATTACTTCAGTCATCATGTGTACATCTGATTACAGAGTAGTTGACTCGCTCCTGTCAGCAAAACATCATCAAAGTTATGCATTATTTGGCAGCCAATCACATCCAAATGTGCACTGGCAGCTCCAAAAAAAAAAAGCAAGGACATAAAACAGATGAAGAGAAACGAACAAGCCTCTAAACTTTTTAAGCTTTAGGTTGCATAACAGTGTGGTCGCGAACTTGAACATCTAAAGCTAAACCAGTGACATTTATTTGCTGCGTCAAATCGCGGAGTTGAAGGTGGAGATAATTTATGCAAGCGAGCAATTACAATCGAAATGCGCAGTTGAACTAATTGTTGATTTCTTCGACTGATTTGCCATATTAGGTGGAAGGATATACAATGATCATTCTAAAAACTAGTCATGGGCTGTACTATTATTCGTGTTCTAGAAGGCAACAATTTTAAACAAAGGTGGCCCGTTGCCAAAGTTTACTTATCCCTCAACAAGTTTTTCTATCGTAATCAGGTTATCCTAAAAATTTTGAAGATAATATTTACTTCCTTGGATAGTTGGATCGCCCGTCCTCACTGGCTGTGCGGACTCCAGCATAATTTCCATTTTTCGGAGTTTTGGTAGCCGAACCATTGTGGTTCCCTGGTGCTCCGAGGTCAGCCTATCTAAAATTTGATAGCAAGACGGTTTGTAACGAATAGTTAGCGACGAAGTGGTAAGGTTCAGATCTTGTAGAATACTAGCCCCGCGGGTCCTTTAGTTGTTGTAATGTTTTATCGGCCTAAAACTTGGGTAATTAAATTGTTTACATACATAACTACAGCATTAATAACATAATAGTAACGATAGAAAAGTAGTGGTAAAGGAATCACACGAATTAAAGCTACGTGGTGCTATAGCTATTAGTGAAGCGAGGCTAACCACGAGATAATGACATTTGAATATTACTACATCTACATTAGTAGCTGGACGATTCATCGACACGGTGGTGGATTCTGGTATTGGCTTTCTCTTAGCCGAGCCTCGTGATGCAAACGCCGGACTTCCTCTCAGCTTGGGAAGGCCGTGCTGGTGGGATAAATCCCCCGCTGGATATCGCAGCACGACACCCAGAAACATCTCCCAGCAACGATAAGGCGGTAAATCGTTGAGAGGAAGATAACTTTACAAACTCTTCTTCAGGAAAGAAATTCAAATGTAATTGTTGAAGATTATGTATGCCTAGGTAAGCCTAGGTAGCCGAAAAAGCACTCAAGAGTTTTCTGCCCCATAAATCATACAAACAGCATCAACGATCACCGTCTGTCCATCACTCTGAACTTTTAGCAACCACAAAAATAACTTAAAAAGAGTCGAAACGAAAGGTGTCTTACAAGCACTCGTTGATCAACGAATGAATCCATTTTCCTCAATAGCTTTTAACGAAAGTTACCTAAACTTTTTCATGAAGGCACAGCTCCTCTATTAACCCGTCATGATCTCCACAAGCAGGTGTGTTTGGAAAAAGAAAACCTGTTCACTAATGTTCACTACCAGATTTCAATGCAGGCATTCATAGAACATTTCGTAAAAATCTTCACTTTTTTCATCTCTTCAAGGATGGTGCTCTGAAAAATCAAAGAATCAGGAGGAAACAGAAGAGCGCACAAATCGAATAATGACTCAGCTCACGAAAATTGCTGCAGTCGAGAACGAATCCAAATGAACGGTTTCTTAACCACAGAAACAACGTCTCACGGCTGCCTGTTGCATTCAATAAATATTAAAGATAATTCGTATATAATGCTGAGATATTTTCAAAACTCCGGACAGCAGGTGTATGCGGGGGGAACGAACGCGCTATTATCCTTTCCGGGGAGTAACGCGTTCACCACCACACCATGCGGGTCCTTCGTTTCGCCTGTCTCTCAGCTACTTCTATTGATCCTTTGCCATCAGCAATCACCCGTCAACGGGATTGATCTGGGAAGCCCGGTTGGTGTGGTGGTGAAGTGCACTACTCCCCGGGGATTTAATGCTGTGTCGTACAACCCCGATGTGAGTTGTGCCTCAAATTCTTAAATTGGTGGAGCTGCCGGCTTATGTGTCACTTGCCTGGATGAGCACTAGAAGATCTTCTAAACCATTTATTTTTGGCGTAAAATTCTGAATTCTTCAGCTAATTGGTGGTTTCTTCCAAAGGCTCAAATGACATCGACGTTTTAATTTATAGACAGTTCTTCCCTTGTGAATTCTTTCATGTTTTAACCCTTTTATTTACAATAGCGCGCGTTCGTTCCCCCCGCATACACCTGCTGTCCGGAGTTTTGCAAATATCTCAGCATTATATACGAGTTATATTTCGCCACATACCCTGCCATGTGAATTCTTTCATGTTTTAACCCTTTTACTTACTGCCTTTTTCTTTTAAATGGCAGGGTATGTTGCGAAATATAACTCGTATATAATACTGAGATATTTATAAGATATTGGAGCACTCGGTTCGGAACTTGACATTACAAAATGCACATTACATGCATACATTACATACATTACATACATTACATACATTACATCCATACATACATACATACACTGATCCACATGTATATACAATATGAGTCTTATTCGGCTTTCAAACACATATGGAATTGATTTTTCTTATCTTTGCCTTCTAGGAACGAAGTATCGCAGCGAAAACCGATAAAGCCAGCTGTTATGCGGAGCGGTGAAACGTAAGTCAGTCATACAATTCCATTCCTTAGAATAAAATGTGATTATAACGGTGTCCTTATCCTTTCCTACTTGTACGTGTTCATGCAGACTCACTGGATTCACCAAAAAATCCTCCAAGAACATTTTGCAGGATATAGGTGGTGGACCTTGTCAGAGCATACAAAAATGTACTTAGTGGTTTTGCGATTATTTTTCCATTATTACAACTATTTTTCCATTTATACACATTTTTTCCTGTTACGAGCAAAAATGCTGTAATGGTCCGGAATGATTATTGCGCTCATTAAAACTGAACATTTTCTATTCGGACCTATGGTACTCCATACCCAATCATTCTTTCAATTCCTGACTTGAAATAAGTTGTGAAAGTTTGTCAGAAAATGTTCGCCTAATAGTTTTCCAAGAATTTCCCACTACTGAGCTCTAAAAGGTTTGATATTAGGTATAATTTAATTTTTATACCTTTTATTTACGGCCCAGTTTTTCTCTTCATGCCAGAGTGTTATGTGAAATACAAGAAAAGAAATAAAGTTGCCAAGAGAAGGGCAGAACGAGGACCTCAGTGGTGCCGCGCGGAGCACGCAAACCCCTCGAAAGGGTAATCGCCGCTCGATCTAGCCTGAGGGCCACGTTTTGCAAGTATCTCAGCATCATTTTGGTTTTATTATGCATACTATTTTTTTAAAAAAAACTACGAAGCGAATTATTGCAGAACTCATGGAAAAAAAGTGTCATCTAAGAAATGTAATTAAAGAAACAACGTGGATCGCATTCGGCACGATTCGGTTGGAGAGCAGTCACCGAAGCCCGTACAACGTGAACAGAGATTTCTGTCGCCAAAACTCGATCCAGCGGAATTTCTGAAGATGGTCTCCTGGCAAGCACCTACACAGTCCGAACAGCGGACGAGTTCAACCCCCGCCTCGGATATCGCAGGTGAGTATCGTAGAGGAAAGAGGTGAAAGGAATAAGATTTCCCAAAAAAGAAACTTAATTTTCGAAGAAGTTGCTCGAAAGTTGTTCGAGCTATCGGGCAACACTTCGTGAGAAGTTCCTTCCGAGTTCCAACGGTGATGAATGTCTGGGCACAAATCTAAGACGAAATTTCAGACTACTCTCAAGATGTAAAGTAGCTATGAATGTTATTAATCACTTATTATGATTAACCAACCAAGTATTCCGCCCCTCGGAAATCTGGAAAATTATACCAGAGTTGTGTACTCCAACCGAACCATAAGGGCTAACGAGTGAGTTTATTGAACAAATGCTTTCTTCCTGGATAGCTAGCCTAGGACTGCTTTCCAAGTACAACTTTCAATGATGCTGATATATTTGCAAAACTCTGGACCGCAGGTGTCTGCGGCGGAAAACGAACGCCTTATTGTCCTTTCCGGGGAGTAACGCGTTCACCACCACATCACAATTTCAGCTTATTATTTACGGGTGATTGCTGACGGCAGAGATCGATAGAACTAGCTGAGAGACAGGCGAAACGAAGGACCTGCGTGGTGTGGTGGTGAACGCGTTACTCCCCGGAAAGGACAATAGGGCGTTCGTTCTCCGCCGCAGACACCTGCGGTCCAGACTTTTGCAAATATATCAGCATCATTGAAAGTTATATTTCGCAATATATACCCAGCCATTAAAAGGAGTAGGTAGTAAATAATGAGTTGAAATTATCCAAGTACAGTTCTATGCGTTAGCAACGAGAGCCTTTAAAACATAGCAAGAGAGAAAAAATGCAAAATAAAACCTGCGTAGTTTCAATAAGAAGAACCATTAACTGCTAAGACTCCAATTTTTTTTCCTACTCTGATCGTCTCGTTTCGGATCAACTATGAATAAACTTTTCAGAAACTGTGCGTTCATGGTACAATCGTCAGTCTCGTCGGCGATTGTTCATCGCATTGGTGATACTGATTACAGTGCTGCTCGCTATCGCCATCGTGATAACGCTTGTGTTTCTCTTCGCTTTCCAAAAGGATCGTCATGATCACGGATTTACGCCCGTCACTATGATGACAGCTCCATCGCCAACGGTGACACCCTTTCCCTACCCACCTGGATATGTCGTCGGCACGTCGAGTTACTATGTTCCACTGGGTGTCGTGACAAGTCTGGTTCCTGACACGCGAGACTTCCGATTCAGAAACCGTTTGCTGTCTTACGGTAACGACACTATGTCGTTGTTCAACAGCACGGCAGTGACGAGTATTTCCTTTCACCTCGACAGCGGCAGCTGTTCATCGTGCACCCTCCTAGCGGCAGACGATTCTTGCACTAACGGTATTGGCCACCATTGCAATCGCTCGCAAGCAATCTACTGCTGCTCAAAATGCGGAAGTGTGGCAAATTTCTGTCATGTGAAAGGAACTGTTTTCGAGGTTAGAATATACGGACGAGTTTCAAATTTTTTATGAACGAAATATTTTATGCAAAATTTGCTGCTAAAAAATCAAACACTACCGAGAAGTGTAAACACTTCAAACCGTTATCAGAAGCGAATTACCACAAAATTGATTACCATAATTCTTAGACAAAGCAAAAGTCATCCCATGAAAACTCGTTAACCAAAGAGCGAACTAAAAAGTATTCCTAACTTCCTAGAGTTTCTTCACAGTTTCAGTTCTCTGACGATCTGCTAGAATCTCGGATTTCCTCTGATGCTAGGACACTACTCATCACCACCGCTTCCCATACCAATTCTTCGTTGTGCATGCTACAAATTCATCGCATCAGGGTCGACGGATTCACCTTTTCTGGACCGATTGAAATTTGTGCCTTTTCAGCATCAGAAAGTGAACTATCAGGCGGTGAGTGAAGACAGAAGCTAAGAATTGGTCAAACAAACGACACTACGCGATATACGAAAATCGCAAGCGTATTAAAAATAGGATTTTTTAAAAAATTTATGGCTTTCTGCTCTAATAGTTTACACTCCCCATGTAAAGCGATTGGGTGTCAGTGCGATGTACCAAAGAGTGTTCATCTCCCGATAGAATCACCCGTAAAGGAGTTTGTTTGACACTTTCATTCTGAACCTGAGCTGAAAGTAAAGAAAGCTGGGGGTAATAAATGCAGAGTAATGTCTACTAGCTTGGAACAAGCTAGTCGCAAGCTGATAGACACACGGCCGACCTACAAGAGCCAGTGAGCGGCAGCGATAACCACTTTCGAACTTCTTGCAGTTATTGCAGGGGCAGAAGCAATAACTTCTCGAGGCAACTGTGGCTGAATTTACAGGGTCCTAGGGTACACGGTAGATCAAAAGTCGGCATGCTTTCCTGCGCTGCAAGGTTTTATGCGATTTGAAGCGGAGTACAATGCGACGGAGTAACCCAATGGCCTAAATGATCTCAGGTCTGAGTGGTCACAAATGGTCTTCAGTTTGTTCTATAGAAATTTCGTGTTTCAGGAGGCACCATCTTGACTACGACGACTTTCTCACCAGAATCTGCAAATTTGGCAGACATTTTGACAATTGTAGACTCTGAAGGAGGGGTAAGGCTATTCAATCTCACATCGAGAACAACTCTTGGTTATATTTCGATGAATATACAGGTAGTCAGCTTTTCAAACACTGCTTAAACATTCCATATATGTCATAATACACTCCAGAACAATGTGCTGCAAATTCCAACCACCGTTCAAAACGACTGCCTTCTGGTTGCAATACTCCAACCATCTCGCTTTTATGCGCTTCGATTTGACCTAGTCTCAGGTCTTCTGACAGTTCTCAACAACTACTACCAGTCTTTTTACTTTTCCGGTGAGTTTGACGAAATCTCATTGCTTTGATTATCGCTCCGAAACATCCCATGTGTCGTAAGATCCGCAAAGAAATTGAATACTGGGACTCAAATGAACCAGAGGAGCTCCAGCCATTAACCTAACAATTTAGGAGAGCTTCGCAAGTCGTCGTGGACCGGAGAAACTTTAATGCTATGGTATGTGGACCGAAATGGCGTCAACATAGTACAATTCCAGTTTAAGTGGGATTCTAACAACAGTTGCTGAAACGAGTACAACTCACAACTGGTCGATTACTGTATTAAAGGTACCAGGAAAAGGTGCACCTCAGGACTGGTCACCTAGTGACTATGAAGAAATAATGGAGCTCGAACATCCCGAGTACCTCTCTGACATGTCTTTCAGGCCTAATTCCCAACTAGAGCGTATACATTAATCTGTGGGACCTCGTCAACTTATAATATTTAAATTGTTCAATGCTCAGCCGTGGTTGTGTCGTATTTCAATCGAACTTCCTTTCATGCACTTTAATATTGTGGAAACAAAATGAAGGCATAAACATCTATTTGTTCAATCAACCAAACAATTTACAATTTCCAAAAAATTTGGTAAACAATCGCGATAAAAATTACACAAAGCATGGACTGCAACTTTAAACTCCACGAAACTTGTTTTCGTACTCCATCTTCAACTTCTTTATCCTCTCCATATCTTCCTCACTCGGAAACCCAGCTTTCTTGTCAATATAATCGCTTTTCGGCAGACCATACAACTCTTCCAACGACATCAATCGTGACCAATGAGGATACAACTTTCTTCCTGTTGGTGCAAGCTCGTCCGACCACTCTTTCTTAGCTCTGAAGCAAAAAAGAAACGTATGACAGTGTATGTAAAGAAAATTGAATTCAAGACAAGACTACCTAAATTAGAGCACGGTTAACTAGACGAACGTCGTACTTCCAACGCCAATGACATCAAGAAAAGAAGAACTTAGCAATTACTCACGTTGCAATCGTGTCTTCAACGTATTTCTCTGCTTCGAATGACTGCAATTCAGCTAGATGAGCTTTCATACGCCGAATGAATTCACGCTCCGCCTGAAATCCAACGTGGAAACTTTCAGGAATAAGACACTTGATGTTTAGTTTCTATTTTCTGCCTACTATAATTTTTACGGCAGGATATTAAGCGAAATACAACCGAAATATTGCTGAGATATTTATAAAACTCCGGATCGCAGGTGTCTACGGTGAGGAAGACACTGAGAGCTGAGTAACTGAGAGACAGGCGAAACGAAGGACCCGCATGGTGTGGTGGTGAGCGCGTTACTCTCCGGAAAGGACAATAGTGCGTGCGTTCCCCACCGCAGATACCTGCGGTCCAGAGTTTTGCAAATATCTCAGCAATATTGTGGTAAGACACTTGATTTTAGATGTTAACTGCACTTTCTTTTTTCAAAATAACATTACAAAAATATAATAAGGCGATCTTGTTCGGACGTTTGACATCCACCGAAAAAAAGAATGCACTGGACAACGCGATCCTCAACACGCACGTAGGTGACAAAACAATGCGACGACTGTTAAATAAAGGGACAATGGTCGAAAATTAATGTTCATCAGAAAAATGGTAGCGCTAACCCTCAGCTTCTTTTCTCTGTGATATTTCTGATATTTGAAGAAGTCCCTATCATAGCGTTTCCGCCTCTTGTGCTTCTTCATTTTCTTCCTTCTTATCGTAAGTAGTCGTGGTGCCAACTGGATCGATATAGGTGTTGCATGAGGAGGAGCCTCCATAGGAACCTTAAATTGAGTCATTACATAGACGAAACAAACGCTAAACACATATCTAACTACACTTACAATACTACAAACCAACGCTCTAACAAAGTAATGCTAATAGTCCACGGAAAACTAGAACTGAGAATATCTACATCTATTATTTATTATTCTATCATCCACTATCTAAAAAATCCAGTCGACACTTGCTATGGACAGTTTGGTTTTAATATATGAATTGTATGGCGCGAGTAGGACAGTGACATTAATGCCGTTCACTAAGCGCAAAATCCTGATTAGACCTCAACTCTAGCGAACCAAGCCTCCATCGCTACAAACTCGGGAAAATAAAATCAAAGTAGTCTGGGAAGAACTCGTCAATAAATAGAGATGGCGGTTGCCTGTGGTTAGAACCGTGAAACGGTTCAGTACGGATATCTCTGGATTCCTGGGAGAATCGACTTGAGCATTACTTGACGACGTTCACAGCCAAACCCACTCGAAAATCCGACCCTCGTAAATACCGGATGCAAGAAAACGAACTGCATGAAAGTGCTAGAATAAACAAAACACATAACGTCGGACAATGTGAGATAACAAGCAATAAAAACCCAGCGGATCAGGTCCAGCACACGGATTTTCCGCTATTGGGAAGGATATAGGATCCATGTGACGGATCGCATGCAGAACGTAGACCATTTTTTAAAACCCGATACTTAAGTATGAACGTGAAGAGGATAATGAAGAACTGCTGTAGAAAAGAATGTCAGCTTCATGAAAGCACCCAATCCGAACCGATCAGTGTCATCATTCCTTATAACAAAAGGAACTAAACAAGCTCTAGTACTACCAATTTTCCCAAGCGCTTCACTAGTAAGCAGTTAAGAACAAGAAAAAAGAAAGTGATTCTGAATACCTACAGAATTACGACAGGAAATCCAAAAACAAACAAACCTCGTCTTCCACTTCAGTATAAAAGTAAAAGCAGTTCCAATAAAAAAGATCTAAAAAACAGACTTAGGAAGAGAACCTGGCGTCACGAAATGACCGATCAGGGAAGGTCCAACGAATTAATGCAGACGGAAAATACTCTTCTCTATTCACATCATTTCCACTCAACGGCTTTTAAAGGTCAACAGCACAACAACCAAGTCGAATTACTTCAAATGCATACTTGACAAATGCAAACATAATTGCGCCATCGAGCCGTTCAATTTCTTAGTCCACATCCAACTTCATTGAATATCGAGACTAAGCAGTTGTTTATCATAGATGACTACAAAATGCTTCCCATACACTTCCTACTTTCATGAAGGCTTCTGGTCAAGCACAGAATAAAATCCACACATAGGCAAGCACACCTATATACATGATTTGTAAGTAGAATGTAAAAATCCGTTCGCCTTATCAGATTCAATAGACTTATCCTTCGCATAAATTTATAACTTTTCAGAGAAAATACATTCCTGCTTTGGGCTCATGCCTGACTCTTAGTCGCCATTTGAGGACGCAAGAGCGTCCCTACTAGCACATCCCTATGAAGGGGATTAGTGAAACGTGCATGTAGGAACTTCAAAAATGGATATGGAATTTCTTTCAGGAGATTTGCCAGTGGCGCATGTAGCGAAGTGGTCGGAGGCTCCCTGCAATACACATGGGATGGGTCCCTGCACCCAAGGCCCACCATGCTTTATATCTTTACGGGGTCGGTAAATTGGTACCAGTCTTGGTTGGGAGGATAGTAGCACTGGCTCGACACATCGATAGGCCACCGTGAGTCATTGTAAAGGCCATATATGCTTCAGTCACCTCCAACGATAATAAAGTCGAATGCATGGCGCATGCCTCAGGAATTGATCAGTGGTAAGGACTTTAACCTTTACACTTTTTACACCAACGGCGGTATTTTTACAGTCGGAAATACGAGAGATCCATTTGTTTACATGACAGCATGTATGTGAAAGCTAAACTCATTAAGCAATATAGTACTTCGTCGTATATGCTATTAATAGACAAATACTGCTTCCTGTATGGAGATGGTTACGGGTTCCTGCTCAGCGGTTATGCAACCTTAAGAACTTCTATGTACTATTACCCAAAGCTCCGATTCACTATCAGTGATCCACTTCCCTCAAGGTGTTTTATCACTAGTCTACAGACCTTTGTAAACTGACCTCAGTTAAATATTCTGCATAATGCGGGCGTATCACATTGAGTTTCTGAAGAGAGTGCCAAAAAAAAGAACAATAGAAACTATGAGAACAACCCAACACACTTTTTCTGCTAGGGGATCCATTTTTACGACTGTCTCCCCAAGAAACGTAGAGGGCAGAACTAATTGACCTCTATGCAGGGTAGGAAATGTGTAAACCTGAAACGAAGCAATTTTATAGGAAATGGATATTTGAGTGGGGCACTTACCCTCCGTCCATTCTCCAAAGCAGGGAAATCGTAAGTAGAAGGACGTCGAAAAGAACCGCCGATATCACAAAGATCTAAAACGGAGGAAACGATAAAGACTTGGAAGATTAAACGCCAAGCATACCTCGGTCGGGAGATTTTCTTTCGATTTGTAAAGATGGCAGGAATGAACATGAAAATGTGGACCCATGAGAACCTAGAACATGAGTAAATCGTGGACTTATGCCGAAAATAACTCCTTTCAAGGAAGAAAGAGGTCGGTAGGCGCGCTATATTTAAACCAATAAAAAAACAGACAGACAGAAAGCATGCACATACAAAGAAGGGTTAAAACTAACGTACTGTGAATCCCACTTGAAATACAGAACTGGGAGAACCTTTGAGTGATGCGAGCGATTGATCTACTCATACTCGTCCAAGTACTAGCCGAAATTCTTCGTCCTAAAAACAAGCAGCGCGTTGTAGGACGTATCAGCGCACCTTCAAGCAGTACCTAAAAACATTTTAAAAATGGGAAAGAATAAGACCATGCTGAAATAGAAAGCTTAGGAAAGCGAATCGAAGGCAGACAATGTTAACGGAAAAAAGTGTAGCGGCCGTAATCTGCGGACATTGCAAACTAATTGGTTCAAACGACGTCGGATTTCTGAGTTGCATTCTGATTACTAGCTAAAACAGAAGTAAAGTAGCGTCTCCTCATAAAAATGATGTCTACAAAGTCGTGACTAAGTCGTATTTTTTCACGGAAGTGGTCTCTTGCATAAACTACCATCGTATAACTCTGGATTGGACAATGTGAAGCTTCTTTTTGACATGACTGTGAACCGTTCCAACACTTAGCGGCGCTCAGCATGGAAGATTCGAGGGAAATGGTTATTACAGTAAAGACGCAGAAGCCTAACTATAAAGAGGGTGAAATGCAACCACTACGATATCGAGATATTTGCAAAACTTAGACTCCACGTCAGATCGAACCCCGATTACCCTTTGGGGAAGCTCATGTGCTACCCACTGCACCACTGAGGTCCTTGCTTTGCATTTATCGCGGACAGTTTTCTTTTCTTAGGCAGTAAACAGGAAGGTGATATCATAAACAGAATAGTTCAGGTTAGCGACTACTCCATGCTGTTGTTTTCCTACCACGTTGCGATATTTTCCTGACGGTTCCTGTAAACAATGGCGGTTGGGTCTCGTTCTAGCGATCGGACTACATCCACCACCAACTGCTGTTTTTCAACACCTCCCAATCTTCCAGAGTGCGCTTAGCACAGTAGTTAGAAGTGCCTTGCAATACACACGTGGTCTTCGGTTCGAGCCCTCGGCTCGGTCCCATTAACCTTCCCCGCCCTACTCTCCGAGGTCGGCAAAAGGGCTTCTCTGGGAGGATAGCAAAACCGGCTAGTAGGCCACCGAGTTAGTTGTATAGCTCAAATTTGCATTCAGTCACTTCTAACCTTCACCTAATGAAGTTGGATGGATGGCGCATCCTTCGGGGATTGATCAACACCGAGTCCTTTGTCCTTATCTGTTTTCGTCCGTGCTATTCTGTTTGCGTTTGTATAGCCATATTCAGCTTCACATTTTAGAAAAGGAATACGGTAGGCAGGCATTCCTTCCCATGGGGGACGTGCATCCCATTTTCAATACAAGATTAACGCTTCTTCATTCAGAATGACTAAAATCCATCAGTTTTCTGACATCGTTTCCTGGAAAATATGGCTGAGAGAAAGGCGAAACGAAGGACCCACATGGTATCGTAGTGAACGCACTAGCCCCGGAAAAAGTAATAACGTGTTCAGTCCTCTCCACAGACACCTGAGGTACAGAGTTTTGCACATATCTCAACATTATTGTAGTTATATCGTTCATGAAGTCGCATTCTATTTGTTCTCAATTTCTTTTCGGCATCTATTTTGTATCACAATATACCATCCTTCACCTTCACTATCCTCACTATCGTTTTCTAAAGATATTTTTCTAAATAAAATCTTGCATATACGTATCTAGTTCAGCGTAGATCTAAAACAAATCTCTCGCTGTTGATCAATCTCTGAGGGATGGGCCATGCATTTAATTTCATTAAGCATCGTTTGGAGGTGATTGGATGCATATTTGGCCTTTACAATGGCTCGCGATGGCCTACCGATGTATCGAGCCAGTGCTGCTATCCTCCCAGACAAGTCTGGTACCAATTTGCCGACCACGGAGGGATGGAAGGCTTGGTGAGCCTGGGGCGCTGAGATCGACACCATGTGCACTGCAGGGCACCTCCGACCACTGCGCTGCGCGCGCCCTCTAATTCAGATTCAATTAAATTAGTGTTTATGTCGTTAGTACATCGTACATTGAAATTGGACACTTTTTTATTCAGACCTATAGAGTATTTGTTCTCCCTTAACTGATAGCCAGTATTATGCTCTGGTGTAAGTCAATACGTCGCAGGTTAGCCTTCATCAACTATAATATCCAGGCAAACAGTAGGAAGACCATCGATCCTATGGTCAGAGCTGTTTACGAGTATTGTAAAAGGAAAATGCGTTGTTCTTCAGATTCCACAAGTTAGTCAAACCTGCTGAACAACTGCTTGATTCGACAACGACAAATGAAGCCTTTGCGTGCATCACTTCAAGTCACTTAGTGATCAGCGGGAAAACAAATCATGGTGTTACTTATTACTACACCGCGTCGTACTTGCTTGCTTATTTACTTCAGTGGCATTTAAAACACAAAAATCAATGAGAAAAAAACTAAGAGAAGAGAAACAACGCTATGCACATAGTTCATAGCAATGCTACAGGAAAAAGTGCATGGTTACATGGAATGCTTTAGTTTCGGAATATACAACGGTATCATGGAGACAATAAAATGAGAAAGATTTAACGCTCATCCATGAGATGTGGCTCCGAATTTGAAATACTGATGCTTACACAACGACTGCACATTACCTTAATGTTGTGCATGTCAACCTAAAATCTTCATTTGGGGAGGCTAGAGAAGAAACGAGAAAGGAGCTTCCTAGGACGATTTTTCCCTGATGGGTACTAGTTCCCAACTAGCTGTGTCATTCAAACGTAGCTCCCATTCGTGAAATTGCTCCAGTGACCGTCTGTGTCCAATAGAGATGTACGATATCTTGTACTGAAAAAATTTTATCTTTACTATGCAAATGTTGACCATATTTTAAAGAACTCCACGAAGAAACTGGTGTTGTGCTTCAAAGAGATATTTTAATGTAAAAAAAATACTTAATAAATTCCTGCCTATCTATTGATATATTTTGTAACAGATGAGTGTTACGAGAAACGCTAGATATGATGAAAACAACTGTTGTGGAAAAGTTAGAATCACCACTTACTTCCTGTAAGAGAGAATACACTTCGGTTTCAGCGTCAAGTGAAAGACTGCTTGTGGCTTCATCCAGAAATACATACGACGGTTGATGGTACAGAACTCTTGCAATGGAAAGACGCTGTTCTTCACCGGGTGAAAGTGTTTCTTGCCTTCAATTTACACTTACGAGTCCTTCGACATCAAAAATATGACCTTCATGTTCTTTGAAAAAAATATTCGTGTGCTACTAGTACGATGCTGAGATATTCGCAAAACTTGGACTCCGGGCCTCATCGAATCACGATTACACTCTCCGGTGCTAGCGTGTTTCACACTGCACCACGGAGATCGTTGCTCTGATTTTTTCATGCTATTTCCATTATTTGTGTACTACTTTAATAAACGTTTACACATCACATGTCACCTTAAGTACTGACCATTCAAAGTTAGACGGCTCAGCTAAGCCACCACACATCGAAACGAGTGACCCGAGTTTCAGAGATTGTAAAATATCCAGAATTTTGTTGTCATCTGAAAACATTAAGGGAGATAGAACATCTCCATTCTTCACTAACTCCACAATAGGAATGTGTACGTAGTCCAAAGAAAAAGAAGATTTTGGACAACACAAGTGAGAATGTACCTATCGTCGACTCTTCACTTTCTATTCGAGGAAAGAGGATTTGCTGTCTCAAAGACAATTGGCCCGTAGGAAAGTATGGTCGCTGAGGAAGGAACATGGTGTTGTCGTGCGTGAAATTCCTATGGACAACACCTGAAAGGTGTATCAGCAGTGTTGTTGGAATTGAATGATCATCTTAAAAGATTACCTTTGCTTGGTTTCCATAGCTTTTTCAATATCCTTAGGAGTGATGTCTTTCCCACACCACTAGTGCCGGTAATCAAGAGTGTTTTGCTTTTAGGAACGCGAAGAGTGAGACCTAAAACCTTTCTCTCTAAGTGTTGCATATTGGAACAATAATAATATTGGTATCATGTCCACCATCACCTAAATAACCTTATGAGGATAAAACTTAAAGATTGGGATGGTCACCAAGTAAGCAGAGACTATGTACGCTTGTAAGCTCAGTAATGCGTAGAATGTAAGTATGTTCTAGTTGATCGTTTAGATGGAACGCTTGATCAGTAAATGAGTATTTGTCTTTCGTAAAGAAAACTTAATTTGTGAAGGCAGATTTGTGAACAAATTGTTATTGATCCATCTCGATAGTAAGAATGTCGATTATTTGCTTGGAAACTAGGATACTTGGAAGGCCCCATCTCACTGATTGTGCAGGCCCCAGCATCATCTCTATTTTTTGGAGTTCTGCTGATTTAGCTATTGTTTCCCTGGATTCCCTAGGTAGCTTAGCCAAAGTCTGCCCCAGGTCGTCACCACCACAGGCTGTCGGAACTCTTGGGAATCATAGGGAGATTTGCCGACATGCGACTAGTTTGATACCAGGACGGTGGTCGACCCTAGTATTGGTTTACTCTAAGCCAGGTTAATTGATGGGAAAAGCTGGACTACTCAATTTGGGAGACCCTGTCGGGAGATGAATGCCCCCTATACATCGCTGCGGAACACCCAAGAACACCTAGCAACGATGTGGCGGTAAAGCTTTGGAAGGAATGTTGATTATAGTACGAGAAAGACCATCTTAGAGTTTCTTAGGTTGGTTAGAGCATGGACTGACGCTTAAACAATTCAGTTTATCGTCTTTGAGTGGACGGTAGTTCAATCCCTGGAATTGCTACCGAATTGAAAGGTTTTGCATCTCAAGAGTTAGAAATCCGCGCAGCGAGTCATATGGGTTAGACAATGTCTGCGACGAAAACCTGGGTCACATATCACGGCTATCTGGCGATTACAGGGAAAAGAGATCTCCAGCACATTACCGAATTTGTGCACGAACACAACTACTTCTATGAACGGCGGTTCTAAGAGAACGAAATGATAGAAGCACTGAGCTTCATTTGACCTGTGAAGACTGGCCATGCAGTTGTTTAAGTAAACACGTTTTGTTGACGTGTTGAGCAATCTAGAATGGGAAGAGGATTTCCCAAAAGGTACCAAACAGTACTAACCTGACACAAGCTCGGTGTTTAAGTCACTTGGTGCAGTATAACATAAATTCTCAGCATGAAAAAGATCGACTGAATCGACACCGCCGTCATTGTATTCCCATATTGTCGTGTCGTCTTCCCACACTTTCTTCATATAGCTCAGCAATTCCGACAATCTGAGACTGACGTTGATAGAGCCACAGGACATAATAATGGACCGCTTAGGATAAATTCGACATTACGGGGGCAATTTGGCACGGTATTCGAACATGACAGCAGTTTTTTTTCTGTTTGCAATGAGGAGCTAATGTTTTAGCAACAACATGCAACACCAGTAAAATCAGTAGGGTATTTTTTAGTCTGGAAATGAGGAAAGAAACTTAGTGTATGTGCTCAAAGCGTACCTCTGAGAGTATCCTGCCATTTCTCCGATGTTCATTGCCAAATCAGTTAGTCGAGTAAAGCTATTGATAAGATAAATAAAGTAGAACGCATTCTAAACCTAGAGCATCCCTCAAAGAATAGTTTCCAGCGGGAGATTTCTTATAGCGAAACGCTTGAAACAAGTGGCTGTTAGAGTTTCATAGAAAACTACTCACATTACTTATTTGTTTTGCCAGTGCTGAAGGACTCATATCGTCATAGGTGTGAAAAACAAAGATCGGGAATAACTGAATGGCATAACTGAGCACAGCGCCGTAGTAATCAAAGAAGTTCTGCAGAACTGAAAAATTAAACAGCTAATACCTATCGCCATGCTGACGAACAAACATTGGATCATTACCGAATATTTATACTACTTTTTATATTAGTCAATATGTGTGTGTATGTTACAAAGGGAATGTGTCTGTGTACTAAAAAGGATAAAGCTCTCGGCCTTGATCAATCCCTGAGGGATGCGCCATGCATTCGACTTCGTTACATCGTTGAAGGTGATTGAATGCACATCCGTTCTTCACAATGACTCGCGGTAGGCTACCAATGTGTCGAAATAGTGCTGCTATCCTTCAGCACAAGCCTTGTACCAATCTGTCTACCCCGGAGGGATGCCATGTGTTCTACAGCGCACCTCCAACCACTGCGCTACTTTTCTACATTTGCCGAGGCGCTTCATATCTTCTTTGAAATTTGAGGACCTTATGCCCTAATCTAATTTCCACTATAACTTAACGTCATGAACAGAAACGAAAACTGGGGAAACCATCACTGCTTCACATTTTTCAATTATTAATGTTCGATTTGGTTCGTTAATTTAGAAGTGGTTGGTCTTCAGCAAGGCTGTTGAGAGCATACCAGCTCCATTAACTCTTCTAATACATGTATAGGAGAACAGTTGTTCTATGAAGAAATAAACGGCGTCAAATAGGCAGCGTCTTCTTGTGTCGGAAAATCCGATTATCTCGTACCCAATTTGCTTAGCGTCGTCCATCACCAGACTTCGAATTGAAGTTTCCGACGATTCTAAGTCGTCACCTAGTTCTTCAAGATGTTAGCAACCTAGAAATGATCTAAGATATAACGGGGTCTCCGTACTCGACCTGCCTTATCATTGGACATCATTGGAGCCGGCAGCATGAGTGGTATTTCATCTTCACCGTGAAAAGTTCACGATATTCCTGGATTTTGTCATTAGTGGTGACTATACTTGGCGCTAGCTTGTTTGCTTTTCTTGAACCAAATATTGAGCTCATTTGTTGGTGCGATACCTAGTTACCTGCTATGGATTTCCTACTCACTTGACTATGAGGATTGTCTCATCTTAACTGATGTGCAGGATAGAATTCATGAACAAGCAAACATACCATATCTCTATGTACGTACTAAAAACGAGTGACTCTATCGTACGCAAATAAATTCCCATTTATCATGATGAATTCCCATTGAAGTTTTCGCCTAGGATGTTTGTGAAGAAGACTGTGTATCTGGCCTCTAGTCTTTATGTTATGCGCTTAGCATCCCATAAGACCTGGTGATTGAATGCTGAACTGCGACATTTTGACCTATGCGACAACACCTCTTATCTTTAGTCGGAGGCGTAGGACAGGTTTCTGTGTTTACCTTCTACAAGTTATGTGATAAGAAGTACTACTAACATTACTCTTTGCGACAGCGTTTGCGATAACGCTTAATGATTTCCCATAACGCTAACGTAGGGCCCAGGTTACTAAAGCGCATCTTGAGACAGAAAGAATCGTAGAATAGAAAAGGTGGACCTGAATTTTAGTGTTGTTCGTGCTCTTCATTGTATTCTTCACGTTCTTTACAAGCTTTCTAAGCCGCGTTTTCTCCTTCTCACTTCTGGAGCTTAGTAGTCCATTAGGTTTTAATTCATCAGTGATCACGGCTCAAGATCACTTCTCAAAATATATATATATATATATATATATATATATATATATATAGGGCGCGTGTGGCGCAGTGATTGGAGGCGCCACTGCGACACGTACGTGGAATCGATCCCCGCGCCCACGGCCCACCAAGCCTTCCATCCCTCCGGGGTTGTCAAATTGGTACCAGACTTGTCTGGGAGGATACCAACACTGGCTCAATTCATCGGTAGGCCACCGCCAAACCTTGTAAAAGTCAGATATGCATTCAATCATATCCAACGATACTTAGTGAAGTCGAATGCATAGCGCATCCCTCAGGGATTGATCAACGCCGAGAGCTTTATCCTTTGTATACATATAACTATTGAAAATTTAGGATATAAAAATCATTTACACTGGGCTGGATATCTCCACAAGGTAATTGCCAATTGTCTGCTCAACACTTTGTTGAGGAAGCGGTCACTCTGGAATCTTTCGAATTCGGCAGCACGATAAAACGCTGATTCTTCGGCATTGTTTCGCACTGTTACGTGTTTATACCTGAAAAATTGAAAGAAATTGCATGTTTTTTTTTCAATTTCCCATTGTTTTTCTCGTTCGTAAAGAGTCGAAAAGTAATGCTGTTAATAAAAAGTTCACCTGAAACGAATAAAAGCACTTATCAAAACCCCTTTATTCTTCTCTTTACTACATTTCTCATGTTTCATTTTTAAGAGCAGATTGCTAAAGAGCATCCTTTAGAAAAATATCTTAGGTCTCCATCATAGTGACATCCTATGCCGGTTAGTCGAGAGGAAACGTGGCACGGCCCCAGGTAGACAGTAAATGGATTAATCACAGACCGAAAGCCACCTTTGCTTCCCTGTGACGCAGGTGGATCCAGGGTATTGAACCAGAAACTTCTGTTTCTGCTGCACCGGTTTGGCACATACCTTCTGTGCTTGCGAGGACGTGTTCATATATGCATGCGAGGGTGTGTTCCCGTTGATGTGGATTGTATTCCACCAGTTAATCCAGCCAAAAGTCTGCAAGAACATGATTTCATCAACGAAGAATCGAAACACACCTGCTCCGGACAGGATAAAATCTGAACACCTGAAGAAGCCTCCGAAAGTCCTCATCAACATACAGGCCCAACTGTTCACAGGGTATCTGTCGAAATGCAGGGTTCCTATTTCAATGAAAGAACAGCCACACCGTGTTGTCGCTTAAGAAGATTTTGATAACGCTTGTGGAAAGATTGCTTTTCGAATCACAAACAAACAGACTTTCGAATCACACAAAAACGATGTTCATGAGGAATAGGTTGGTTTCGTATGCACCACACACGCTCAACAAAATGAATACCTTCGAATGCCCCAGCTACGGCTATTTAGATCGATAAATCAAAATGGTGAACGACTCAGCTCCAGGGTTGGGCAAGAAGAAACGAGCGATTTGGGAACGAAAACGCCGTTCTCTACGCCAAAGACATCAAATGCGTATAAACTACAACCGATAGACAAGAGCTGTTAAAATTAGCTGGATTGCTCAGGATATCAAGCGTACTGCAGGAAGACCACCGGCCCAATGGTCACTGTTCTTCAAGAAAAAACCTTTGAAGAAAAACATGATGCTCAGCGAGTTCTTAGAGCAAGCAGAACCTACCGGGCTACTTTTTTATTTCGACAGCCAGAAATGCAAGATTTACTGGAAACCGTTCCTGTTAATCGACGATCAACAGGACAACAGATGATGCAGGTGGTCATAGTTCTCATTCTGATCGAGTACAGTACACTACCAGCAGCTATTTCTTACGTAATATCGTCTAGTCTTAGGGCCAAAAACCAAACTGTATGAGAAGTCCGCTGATGGGTGATTGCTGATGGCAGCGTCAGGTAGAAAACTAGCTGAGAAAACGCAAAGTCAAGGTCTTAGTGGTGCAGTATGTAATAAGCTAGCCCCTGGAAAGGGTGATCGTGGTTCGATCTGGTCCAGGGTACAATTTTTTCGAATATTTCAGCATCATTGTGGTTGTATATCACAATATAGCCCCCCGTAAAAAATTATAGTATGCAGCAAATAAAAGACCAACATCTATGAGACGTATTATTGAAAAAGGTATTTTAAAAAGTATAAAAAGTATTAAAATATACTGTCGACAAAAACAGTTGTGTTACAAGACCATATACTCCGTATACGCGCGCTCACCTAAAATCTCCTTCGGATTTCTCGGCTCTTGCCGTCCATTTCGTTATTGGCGAGACAATTAAGCGGTTTGCAATAACACCAAGAATAAAGTAACCATAAATTAGTCCAACACCAAATGGTCCAGCCCTAAAATAAAAAAACTTGGGTTAAATTTAACATAAAAGAACAAGTGTGATGGTTAATAATCACTGCTCATTTCTCCTAAACACAATACTCCTAGTTAAAATGTCATTTGTTAAAAAATATACCCAGAACATACGTTGCCCAGGTTTTCCATGTGTAGAAACCTATCACTCCTGGACAAATAAGAACATAGGGATAAATGTTTTTTGAGAGCATCGAGCACATACGTTCAGCATCTTGTGTGATACGCTGATCTCTGTAACCAGAAAGAAAAATCAAAGAAAACAAGAAATATAACCTTCAATGATGCTGAGACATTTGCAAAACTCCGGACCACAGGTGCCTGCGGTGGGGAACGAACGCTTTATTGTCCTTTCCAGGGAGTAACGCGTTCACCACCACAGCATATGGGTCTTTCGTTCCGCCTGTCTCTCGGCTAAATCTATCGATCTTTCGAATAGATAGCTGACAAACAGGCGAAACGAAGGACCCGCATGGTGTGGTGGTGAACGTGTTACTCCCCGGAAAGGACAATAACGCGTTCGTTCCCCACCGCAATCATCTGTGGTCAGGAGTTTTGCAAATATCTCAGCATCATTGAAAGTTATATTTCGCAATATACCCTGCCGTTGAAAAGAATAGGCAGTAAATAATAAGTTAAAAAAAAAAACAAGAAACATGTGAATGGCCGGTCGTTAAAGAATGAACAGCATAGGTTGCAGTATTATGGATGAAGAAAAAAATTCAGCACTCAAAACTGGGTGGAGTACGTTCTAAGGAGACGAATACTAGATCCAGCCAATTCAGCAAATATTTCCTAGACTGTTCTAGTAATAGTCATAAAAATATCAACTATATAAGTTCTAACCGTAAGCGAACTGCATCACTCCACCAAAAGCCCTTAGGTAACGTTTCGTGGAAGCACTGTTTAGCGCGCTTAAGACGAATAACTGATAAAGAGAACATCATTAGGTAACACTGTGTTCGGCTATGCACGAAAAACACAGGAAGGTGTGTACAAGAACATGTAGCACACAGAGGATATGAAAAGCCCAAAAATTTTTGCAAAACCCAGAGGAGAACCGGTTTATGGGACGGAAATCAACACAAACGAGACGAGGCTACATAAAACCTGTCAAAGTGGCCGATGCGACACCTATAAGTGTCACAGTGAACGCGAGGAACACTTACGCGTTGTCCACTCCGCAAAAACGTAAGAATAGGTCGGCGTGGAAGTGTTGAAGCTCAGACCTACCCTTCAATTTTTGCTGATGCTTGCATTCAGAAGATCAAAATTTAGAGAAGAACGGAAAGCTATTATGGGTTCCTATTTTTCCTTAAAAGTAAAGTTAGGATGTAAAAACATATAGATAGCTTGTGACATCTACGCTGCTTTCAGCCAGAGATCCGCTAGCACAGAAGTGATTTGCTGTAATAGTGTCGTGATGGTGAAGAGGATGAAGATGAAGAACGTCAGAGGTGATCGGCCCAAGGTCAACAATGGTGAGGTGGATGAACGTGGTCGTTGGCTCGGTTTAGTTTCCACGCTCCGGACTAACCAAGTCCATCATTCATCTGGAGTTGGCATGTTGGCACCAGGTCCACCTGGGAGAATAAAAACGCTGCATTGGTAGACCAGTGGACACCTTCAATTATGAACAGATACGATACGACATGTACAGGTCAGATATGTCAGATATCAATCACCCATTGGATGCATAATAGAGTCGAGTGTATGTCGCATGCGTTAGGGATTGATCAACCCCGACCGTTCACGTCATTACTCCTTTACTGGATAGAGAATGAATTTAATGAAAAGCAAGCAGATCGTTATGAAATATATAACACGCTTCTATTACGACACAAAAGCATTTATTTCTCAATCGTATGAAGATCTATGAGAGAAACTCCATAGAATCGAGACGTTCTGCAAAATGGCTGAACAAAAACGGGTCACCCAAGCACTTCCCGGAACTGACGATGCTTTCTAACAAAATAATGACTAGGTTTTGATAGTGGGCTGGTGACGAAGAGAAGAACTGTTGGGAAATTGACAAAGCAAAACAATGACTAGTACGTCGGCGAACGACACTGATCGATCGTGGGAGACCTTGCTGCGAACAACAACCGACCACACCTTACACAACCGTTGAGTCACAAAGAATTAGGATACGAAGCCCTATTTCATTCAGCACTCCCAACAGACCTCACAGCAACCGTCGGCCACTTTTCAAACCACATTACCCTCAAGAATTTTTTTGAAAAATAAAACTATTGAAACTAAGCAGATTGTGAAGATTGCTATTGAGGGCTCACAAAGTGTGGAGGTCTTAAATCGAACTATGGTAGAACAAATAAATTTGCATCCTGTGGTTCTTATTCCAACTAACAAATTACACAAGAGATTAGAATATGGGCGCTTGAAGTCTAGGGTTAGAAATTGACATTCTTTTGCCTGAGGCAGTCTATTAAGTGTTAGATTCGCAACGATTCCTAATTTTTGGTCGCATATAGTATGAGCCGTATATGATTCGTACCGCTGCCAGTGGTTAAAGAATCTCCTGAACATCGCAGTGGAGGGTTTCTTCAAGTATTTTCCATCTTCACTTGAAACATACTAGAACCAGGTTCGCAAAATGATGTGCAGAGCTGTCCATTACACACATTATTTGTTAGAAGAAACACTGACGGATTATCAATTCCTATGTTGTCTACAGAGTTCAATTTGTGATATGTATTGTTCCGGTAGTAGTATTTATGAAGAGCCGTGACCAAATTCTTTCTGATAGCGATGTTCAAGAGCCAACAAGCGAACGTGGTTGTCGCCAGAAGCTAAATACGTACTTTAACAAATAAGCGCAAGACAAAGTCGTCAGGAAGGCAAAAAAGCACATGAATCTCTCTTACAAGACATTGTCCAAAGTAGATGAGTGTCGCTTTCCAGAACAAATTCCAGAATTTCGGTTCGTCTTTGGTTAATAGAGCAGAATAGAAGCTTCCAATAATTGTTCCAGAGTGGTAGTTAACGACTTCATCTAAATTCTGGATCTGTTACTGAGTATAAAAAGAAAAGGCTATAATGAAAATTCGTAGATAGCTAATGTTGTTGCTTAAATGGGTTTACGCTTAAAATTGAAAGTTAAACAAATCTGTGAAGATACGAACATGCTCCAGCAGCCACTAGTGAGAAGATCGTCAGTGCAGCCGCGTATTCAAATCGTGGATACAACCACCTCAGCAGTGAGGCAAAACTGGTGACGAACTTGAAGCTCAGGTAGAAGTCCTTTGCGGGTTGTAAACGGACCATGTCCAGACTGTGATGATGCTGCTATTATCAGCACGAAAATGTTGAAACGCTTTGACCAAAGAGCGATCGGAACATCGATCTTTGCCAGTGTGTGGGGCACAGAGCGAGAATTGACAGATAACTGGACAGAACGCAAAGCTCGCCACTCCAGAAAATAAGGATATAAGCAGGTCGTCTTGAAATCGACTAGTTTTTTGGTCTCATTTTGGTTACAATCGAGAATGCTTCGTTCCCAGGTTAGATTTATTTTGCACAAAGTTACGAAACCATTTTAAAAACATGAATTTCTGTTCAAAATCGTAACGTAAGGGGCGTGCATGGCACCGTGGTTAGAGGCACCCTGCAATAGGTACAGAGTCGTTGGTTCGACGTCGCACCTCGAGTAAACCATGTTCTTTATCCTTTCAATTTCGAGATGAATTGGTACCAGACATCTCTAGGAGGATAAAAAACTGTGCTTAAATATCGCTGCGCACTTGCAAAACATTATAGAAACCAAGGCGCATTCTATCACCTTTATGATGCTGAATGGAATCGAATACGTACTACACTCCTAAGGGCTCAAATGATTTATTCCTTCATCCGTCATTTCAGCATAATTAATAGAAGTAGATTATATTAGCAAAGACCTGTAACAATTAGGTTCATTGTCAAAAATCATCTTTTCGTTCCATTGGTCTTAAGATAACATCGTTGTGGAATGCGCTATCAACAAGGTGAGCATCCCGTATCACGCAAATGAGACAGAGAAAACAAACGCTGACGAATGAAGGTCAGGAATGTATCCATATCCACAAGAACTTAACTACTCAAATGGGCTGTACATGCGATGCGTCTTGACAACACTTGCTAGACAAGAGCAGCAAGCGATCTTGTCACTCTAGAAGTCACGACAGCACCACCGCTGATGCTGTAGAACCTTTTCATGTAGAGCTTCAAGCAGATTTCGTGTTCATCAAGCTAAAAGAAGCCATTTGGGAGTTCTCTCACCATAGGCACAACTGGAGACTTTACTGACACCAGGTCGCGTCGCACGAAATTCTGATGTAGGTGATCATCACATGTGATGAATAGGTTGTCCATTCAATTCTGAACAATCTGAATGATGGTGAATCAAGATTCTGTAGCACTGTTACATTTGCCATCGGTAAACCAGTCCGTTACCCTCTACGGATCGATGGATTTGAACGAAAATGTGAAACTGTGGTGCGTTCGGATTATTCCCTCGTCCAGCGCAATTTCTTTTTATTGCTGATTTCTGGCGTTATGGTATTTTGGTTCATCATTGGCTACTCGGTTCACTGAATGGATGTTAGCTTAAATGGAGTTAGGATTCCCAGCTGACCACTCGCCACCCATGAACAGGGCCACGGCCGCCGAGATGGTGTCCGACAGTTATATGGAAAACCTTAACAAGTTCCTCACTTCAAGTTCCCTCTTTAAAATTAGTGCAAATAGACAACTTCACAACATAAGCGAGACACGCTTCCTGTTCGCTGAACGGGCGCATCCCACATGGAAACTTCAATACACGAAAGGCAGCAATAAAGACTTTACAAGTACTTGCTTGGGTTACTTAAAGTGGTGATTACTAATATTTCAGGAAATTATTTTTCCTATTTCGCTGCAAAACTAACAAAGTTAAAATGACTGTTGAAACTCGATTATTAATTCAAATTACACTGAGTACATTGGAACCAGAGGGCGAGCCGGGTGTGTTAATAATAAATAGAAGCAGAAATAATTCCGCTTAGAACTTATCTGGAACATTACCACTTGAGCACTTAAAGTCTTAAATTTCCAGCAATATTTGTGGTACAGTAGGCGAAAAATTTAGTGTTTTACTAAAAGATCTGGCTTACAATCCATTTGCAGATCCATTTGCGGTATTCGCTCTAAAAACGAACGGATAATTTTCAACGATAACGTATCCATCAATGGATAAAACATCAACAACAGCCGCCCCGTATAAAAGAGCATCGTCGGGTGAGTTTGGCTTATTCGAGAGTGATGCTCCGCCGATCAAGATCCAGTTCGATGCGCGACCAAAATACCACCTCGAGAACACGAAACACGAACAACTGTGGACCATTGAGCCGGATCATCGGCTCTGATGATGACAAAACGGTCGAAACGTTAGCCGAATAGACGACTTTATCAACCTCGTGTGAGCCCGACAATATAAACAACAAGCAGATATTTGTGTATATGGATGACAATTCCCTTTTGCACACCTTTGTCGAAAACAACATTGCCGTTTTTTAGAAAGGCATCATTTGAATTCACATTCAGAGGAATAGATTGATGTGGAAAAAATTCTAGGTCTGCAAAGAGCTGACTAGAAGATAGAGTTGGCGAGGATGCTTAATTCTAAGAAGGGAATGAGAGAGAGGAAAGAAATAAATGGTTCCTCGATCATGGAGCCCACATCTCTCATGTATCTAAGGCGTTAATGAAACCGAAACATAACTTTTAGGACTGATAGAAGTGAAAGGTGAATAGTAAAAATTGTCTGTCATCGGTGCTCTCGGAATATCCCAACATGCATCCTCATTAAGTCGAAACTCCTACTTTACGCTTCGAGACATTGAGTTACACCACCTTCCACTCCTGAACAAGTTTTGCTAACAAGAACCTCGGTGTTTAGCTTAAAGATAACGCCCCAATCCTAGCGATCGAAGATAACTATGGGAATTTCACAGTTGTAAGACAGAATCAATCTGTTTAATATTAATGATAAGCAGAAAAAATGAAGGTTGAATGGATATCAATAGCGTAGAAGTGTTATCGAAGTAAAGGCGCTCATGCGCACGTGGCCAGTGTAAACCACGACAAGTCACAAGTGGGTCTCATATCGACTTGTCAGATCAATGTGACACGGAATATCCTCGTGACATGCGACAACGATCAAACCATGCTGATTCGAGGAGATGGACAGTCTGATAGTACCTGGGTTTCTTAACCATTAGGTGACGACGTCATCTCTGTAAGAGTTATAAGGTACGAAAAATATTGCGATATTCAACTTTAGATCAACATATCTCAGCATGGAGTAAATTTCATCTCCTGTAATATAAAATTTTAAAATCTGCAAGCTTTTGTGTGTAAGATAATGATCCACTTGCCATGGTGAAATTCTGATTTCCTGGAGCCCATTATATGTATTTCGTTCAATTTTTTCCGCTTCGAGCCCTTCGAGATATTTGAACATCAAAACAATCTAACAAGCGGATTTCGTTGAGCTGAGCTCGGTAGCGTTCCCCAATCCATCGTTCAAGGTTACAGCTACTGATCTGGCGTAAATATTAAAACTTGTGAATTCCATTTCCAATTTTTTGAACTTAGTGGTTCTAAAAAAGAGTAAACATAAAGCTCTCGTGGTTGACCAATCCTTGAGGGATGCACCGCTATGCATTCTACTTCATTAAACATCGATGGAGGTGATTTAATGCATATCTGGCCTTTATAATGACTCGCGGTGCCCTACCGATGTATCCAGTCAGTGCTGCTATTCTCGCAAATAAGTCCGTACCAATTTGTCGACCCCGGAGGAAAGGAATGCTTGGTAAGCCTGAGAAACTGGGATCGATTCCATGTGTACCGCAGAGAGCCTCCGACCACTGCGCTACACACGCCCTTCGTGATTCTAAACATAACTAAGTTGGAAAAAACACTCTATGAGAACTATTTATACGGTGACTGCCATATAGGAAAGTTTTTCTAAAGTTTATCTAAAGGATTCTGAACTCCTGAAGTACTTTACTGACGGAGAAATTATCATCAGTTGGCGAAGAACCAGTTTTGTCGTGAAAGATTCAACATATATGAGGAGTGCTCGTTAAATTCGAAACATAGTTTTGTATTTTCTCAGATTCGTAGCTATTCTATGACTCGATAGATGGTGAACAGTAGTGCCTTTTGAGAAACACTGCAAATTCAAAGCACACAGACCTCACCACCAATGGGAAGGTTTCTGCTTGATTTACTTATTTCAAAAACTGGTTCAACTTACGAAAGTTTATCCATTTTGTTCTTCATCACACCTGTTTACAAGGATCTGTTCTTAGTTATAAAGTAACCAGAAACTACAGTTCCAACACACATCGGGGAAATCTCTGTGAATTATACACGTACTGATTCCGCTCAGACTTTTTCCTTTACCGATTTACCTCTGGTAACAGCAAGTGTTTTCCGAGAAGTGCTAACGGGGAGAATCACGGCTATGATAAGACGATGTTTCCACTCCATATAGCAGTGCTATCAGTTCTTAGACTACAGTATGTAGTTTCATTTGTGAGTTCATCGGAGTAAGGTGGTTAGTTTTTCGACAGGAATTCTCGTGTTTGGAATTACTAACACAGCATTTTAGTCGGATCAAGTCTTCTAAAATGGTCAACAAAGATGAAAGTATTTCAAAACGAAGAAGAATAAGATTTGATGACCGACCTAGTGATGGACAACTTGGCGTGGAAATGACACAGGATGAGGCCATAATTGATCAGAATGCTCAACACCATGAAGAACGGCTTGGAACGGAACTCACACAGCCTATAGAACTTATGGATCCGAGTCTCCATGAGGTTAGCTGTTCATCACAGTGCACGAATGACTATATACTTCGAATGTGATTCATGACATAAAAGAGCGGAACGTCTCGTCTGGGTACAGTAATCTTATTGTAAATATTTGTAAAAATTGGATTCTGCTAAAGCACTTACTTAATAAAAAGGAGAACGGAGAAGTTCACCCTCTTCATTGCATTAAATAGTTCCAAAGTTGAAAACTAAGAACTAATCATAAGTCAGCCAAAATGACCAGATTCGAGTTACCATGAAAGGAAGTACTTTCTTTTTTTTTCTTTACTTTCGTGTAATGCTCTGAATTGTTCATTATTCAAGAGACAAAGTGTTGCGGATACCACGATAATTTGAATGACTCACATGAATTGGCGAAACTTTTACGACTGGCTCTCTTCACTTCACTGCGGGATTCTAAGAGTT